ACTCCCATGGCCGTGTCAGACTTCACTAACATAATCAAATAGTCGCCAAAAATGAAAAGATGCTAACAAGTAGCAGACAGGTATTTATTAATTTTTATTAATAAATACTACTATAGCTACTACTGCTATTTTTGATTTGGCTGAGGTGCACTTTATTGCCCAAGGTCCTAAACCTCACATAGTGAAGAAACCTATTACCGTATTATGGTCTTCTTTTATGCCTGGTCAAAATCCTCTAGGAAAGGGTAACAGCTTTTCAGGAGACGCTTTACCAGAGAAAATGTAACTGCTTTCTCCAGAGAATAAACACCAGAACTAACATAAAGTTTAACCACGTGCAATTTCAAAAACAAATAGAAGAACAACGGTGAATGCAGTCAGGATGGTTTTGCATTCAAAATTATTTGAATATGATCCGACTGAGATACAGCATGAAAATATTAGGTAGAAGGTATGGAGGCTTGTAAAAGTTATGCGCATCCAAACTCCACCAACTATTAAAGAAATGACAAATATACTTGATGTAAAATTATCTGACAATATATTAGTTAATGTCTGTTAGAAAACTCCACTACCTGCATAAATGTAGAAACTGAAAGAAGGGGTTTGTCTCCAACCTTTTGTCGTCTAGCCTGTCAAGAAACAAAGGGGGCTGAAATTTTGACAAGAAAATAGATTGACGAACGAGCATAATGTACTGCATAATAATATATAACAAAATTGAGAGCTATGTTAACCATGGTAAAAAGAAGGAATGCTCCAGTTTTTATCGTAAGCATATATTTCACTCAATGATTCAAAAAGCACCAGCACAGGAACAATATCTAGAATCACTATGATGTCAATTTGTTAGGATGGTTAAACAATGGTGATTTATATACACAGATATAAGTATCATTTAATGACACGGAAGTGCTTAGATAAGGCAATCGAACAACATGATTTGGGTACATAAATTTTTATTTATGAAATTCATAATTTAACATATCTGTCTGCGCCCATGTGATTTCTTTGAAATAATATTTGTCCAACAAAAGATGCCCAATTTGAAGTAGGTCCCCGAAAAGACGACATTATAAAACAAGTCGCTCTAAAATCTGTTATTTAACCTATAATTAACTAATGGCCATTTGTTATTCCCATTACGCCCTTAGTTGCTATTATTGCTTATGTTGTCACACCACCATCTTTGTTTTCGCCGCTGCATTGATGTCGGGCAGCGGGGATCAGCATGAAGAGCGATGACATCAAACAGCTTCCTGGCTTTCCAGAAGAACACAGAATCCCTCTTCTTCCACCTCATGACATGCCCCATTAGAAAACCCAGACCCCTCTGCCCTACCCTCTTGAACCAGCTGAACGTCTTACTTAAAATTAGTGAATATATTACTTTTGTTTTATTCTAATGTGAACAAGCACCATCTGATCATAAGAAATATTCATATAACCAGAACTACATCAGTCCATCCCAAATGAAACCAACAATCTCATTGAAGTGACCCAATTTGGCAATATGCATTAAGATCTTTAGATTTTAAGTTCACTGGTGTGTCAGACACTTTCATGCATGCTGACAGAATCACCCCCCACTGTCAGTGCTTCAGACTTTTTAGTACGACCATTACAATGTAAACCTGAGTAAGAGACTTGCTAGTTATTAAGTCAGTGACACATGAGATCAGTTACTAGATATTGTCTGCAATGATGATATATAGCAGATGAGTATATGTTTTCAAGTGCGAAGTACGACCATCAAATTTGCACAAATACGTCTACTTGTGATGTTAAAGTTAAGGCTTTAAGTCTTTAACATTCTACATGCTTCAAATGGGTGCTATATGCATTCTGACAAATGATGTCATACAGCTACTGGTCATCAAATCCTGCAGGGATCAATTTACCCAATATTATAACTAACAATCGCATGATTCAATGCCCTTCACAAAACTGGGAAATTTTGTCTGCTGGTCACTAAGGCATAAGGGGAAAAACAAAAGAGAAGACACGTAGCAAAGATCCAATAAATAACAAATATCCACTACAGACAATATTGATGAAATCGGTAGTAACAGCATAGAATCAAGATAAAAACCTGGAATAATAGCATGGCTATGGCAAAGAGAACCTTTGCAGCTTCCGTCAATAAATTAACACTGATGGGACTAAACTTGAATTTCCCATCCACCTTACACATATACACTAGAATAGGCTGCAGAAGGGAAAAAGTTAAAATATACTCACCTTATAAGAAAGAAATAATGACAAAAAATATATAAATTATGATTTTGTGGTGTGTCAGTATCATCATACCTGGTTGCCTTGGAGGCTGCTTGAGACCTTTATGATGTTCATGACTTAATGAGATCAATTCAATTTATTAACAACATACAAATCCAATATACTTGTTATCATAAGATGGACTTGAACTTTACATGCGTAGGATTAGTTTCCGTTCAAGTCAAGGGAGATCGGAAGGAGAAGAGAAGAAGAAAAGACCGAACAAACCTAAACTGAGGCTAAAAAAAGCTCATTATTGCAAGTGAACTGCTGTAAAATCTTTATTTTTTTTATGGAACTCCACTTTCTGGCTATAAGAAAATCAACACTTCATTATGACACGTTGAGCACCAAAATAATTTGGGTTCGTCATGGACACCATGTCAGGCACATAAAGTTGCACCCAACATAAAACTTTGATGACCATGTTTAGAAGGCAAGTGGACACTACTTGTGCAATAGGATTTATGTGATTCACATCACTGTAGAGGGTAACCTTTTAACTAATCACCATAATATAAAAAATCTATAGTTTCCTCTGATTTTCCCTTTTGCAAGTTCCAGTATGGCCCCAGCTGAACAGGAGATATTATCTCCTATCAATGAGACCTGACACTTCATTGCTGGCATCGAATGACACCTAGGAAGCCAAATTGTTTACATGAATTTGTCTAAGTAACAGATTTATTCTTTTTCAATCAAACTTATACAGTTGATTATCACTTGTTAAGTTGTTATTCTTGTTATGTTTCGCATGAACGCACACATGGTCTACAGACATACATATGTACATGTTCACATGTAAAAAAGCACATATCTATATGTATTGTGCACAATTTCTTGTTTTTAGAATTTTGATATAGCCGATGTTTGTGTCTTTGATGTATCCTGCAAATGTGCATGTGTGTATGCTTCACAACTTGCTAGTGTCCAGGGTCATCATCATTAATGTATATAGTTAACAACAAGCTATATTAAAAGGAGATGAGTAAACATTTACACATAATTGCATAAAACAAAAGGAAATCATGGTATAGGTGGACATGATGAGGGACACGGAAATCAGTTATGGAAAGCCACCACTATGTCTACTGGAACAAATTTCCTTCCACTGAAAGATTAAGGCTCTGTTTGGTTTGAGGTAAAATAAAAGAAAAGAAAAGAAAGTGAGAGAGCAAAAAAGATTCTACCATTTGGTATGAAAGAAAAACAAAACGAAAATGGAAAGAGAAAATCGAGAAGAAAATTGAGATATAAAACTTTTAGTTTCCTTTCTTCGCTGGAACCTAGCGAAACCGAGAGAAAAACGATTGGGCCGGGGGTTCAAAGGCTGAAAACAAACACGAGAATGAAGGATCTTGACGTCGTTGCTGTCTTGCTGAGAGTTTTTTCAGCTTCTTTGCATCTGGGACCCATCATTAAATTATGAAAATGGACACACGTGGCATTTTGTGTTCATGCAGACCAATTAGATAATGGATGGAACTGTAGATGTATGATGTATAGACACTAATAAAATAGCTCCCATGAAGAATAAAATTCTCATATAAAGAACCCTCTTTACATAAAATCATTGGTAAAGTACAGCAAACCCCC